CTAGCATGGGTAATGGAGCTCCATGCTGCCCGGTTGGGGAATAGTTGGATGGGAGACTCCAGTGGCTGTTAAATTGGACGAGGCAGTAGACAAAGTCCGGTTTGGTAGTCGTGGGGTTTTTCGGGTCGGATTGTTCCATGACTGGGGGGCGTGGTGTTCCATTGCCTATAAATTGTATAGCTGCCTTGTTAGCCCCATGACGGGGCCTGTCCAGTTAAGGTATAACTGGAAGGTTGCCGATATGGGGTTGACTGGGGGCTGTATGATTGGTAAAACCACATATTAAGTGATTATTAATTATTTAATCATTATAARCACAATTATTATTACCATATTTGCGCATATATATTTATTTAGTTTATCTTGCACTTGCACTGAAATTTGCTAGATGTCCTTTTTGATTTTGCAAATAAATTATGTAGATGTAGATGTAAAGATTTGCGAGATCAGCGTGTTTTGTATGAATTAATTACTTAATAATCAAGCATTAATAAGGTTTGTGGACAATTTAGAATGAGAAATGACATGTACGATTATATGGTTTGATGCTAGAACTAGCTGAAAGAACTCCGGGATAGCCTAGAATATAAATATCTGTAGGATAATAAACAATCTATCATTTACTTTTTAAGAACAAAGTTATGAATATGTCGACTAACAATATAACCAACATATTCATAACATTGAACCCAGGCGTTGATGCTTGTTGTGAAGTCAGTGATCATCCAGGTGAGTGTACTCTTAAGGAAGACTTGAACTAGAGAAAGTCTTTGAAAATGACTAAGTCCAACTCAGGTTGTCCAAAGGTCAGTCACCACCAACCACAGTCTTTCTCAACACAACACTCACCCTGACGATAACACTTCACAACAGATATGTATAATATGTATATCGTATTATTTTCCTAAAAGAGAATACGGTCTCTGTGGTTAGGGATTTAGAAGTTAGGAATCATAAGTTTATATGAAATAAATAAGTTATGTTACTCCCAAAAAAGTGCATGGCTTACCTTTGTCCTTCTCTGCAACCATTACGCGCACAGGATATGGTAGAAATCTTGATACATCGTCACTGATGCTTGCAATGTATTCATTAGTGTCATTGACAGTAAGGTTTTTCAACACGAACCAAGCACGACCTATTGTCAAGTTTCCAATAAATTCTACCCTCTTTTTCAATGTCGCATCAATATCTTTGTTAAGGTGCACTTTTCCATTACATCCATTAACACTGATAAACTGAGGATCAGGGATGCTGCCCTTTCTTATTCCCCATCTGGCAGAAAGGATTTCTTTTTGATCCGTCGTATTCCACATAAACGAGGCATCTTCTCCAATGGAACATCTGATATGTGTTGGACCCTTTATGGAGTATACTTTGCCAAACAAGAAGAAAATGATAAGGTATTGATATGGTTTGCTATTATATGGTAACATTGAGTTGCTGTCTGCAATGATGACTTTATTACATTAAGTATATCCGTAGATGACAAAACATAAGGAAGGTAGCAAATTCATTAACATAGTATAAAGATTGTAATGCAGTCACAAAACTAACATGTTTGTATTCAAAGCACCGCTACTAGCTAGTTGCCGATCTAATATTTAACACTTTTCATTTTTAGAACTCTGATCTAAGCACTTCCAAGGTTGTTTTTAAAAAGGACACGACAAACTAGAACCAGGGAAACCAATACATATATT